TCTTCTCCTCCGTGTGAGACCAAAGGTTTGTTTCCTATCGTTTGATATCTTTCAAAAGAACATTCTCTTTTAACATAAATTGCGGGCAAAGTTTTCCTCGAATGGACAGCTAGCGACCCAAATGGTCACTCTTAAAATTGTCACCCAGAGCGGTAATTCGATAAAGGCGAAATATGTGATTAACACAGTCTACAGACTGTACGATTTTACGCCTCTGTCTGCGTCGGTGTACATACTATAAGATTTTAAGCCGTTAACTAACGCTGTAAAATCTCTCAGTATGTATATATACCGACTGGAAAAATTTACGCCGTTGGTTACTGACGTAAAATCCCACATATATACAGTACCGACTGGAAATAAAATTATGCCGTTAGTTACTAGCGTAATATCTTACGGTTAATACAATACCGACTGAAAGAAATTACGCCGTTTATATGTAATATTTTACGCCAGTAACTAACGGCGTAATTTCATCCACTCTGTACTATATATACTGCAAGATTTTACGCCAGTATCTAACGGGCTAATTTCTTCCACTAGCTCGGTAATGTATATACAGTAAGATTTTACGCCAGTAACCAACGGCGTAATTTCTTTCAGTCGGTAATATATATATGTAAGATTTTACGCCAGTAACTAACAGCGTAATTTCTTTCAGTCGGTGATATATATATATATATAATGTAAATTTTACGCCAGTTATATAATTTAATTATATATTATTTTATTATGATTAATCTACCAACGCAGATAGTGGCGAAAAATATTACAGTATATGAACTGTGTAAGTCACATATTTCGCCGTTATGTATATTCCCCACAATTGTGAATGACGACTCAGGCGAGTAATTTACTAATTCCAGTTCAGTATGGGGCGCCAACTGATAATAATTTTCGAAACAATTAGAGAAGGCCCCTTTAACATCTTTTTTCCTAAGCGACTGTGCCCAGAAAAGGGGGCCAAAGGCAGAACCCCATCACAAGAGCCAGCTTTCAGGCTAAACAGACTGTGGTAACAGGTTACGATGCTGGTTCGAATCGCCAAAACGGTGAGGTAATCACAAGACATGTGAGTCGCCTTTTCGACCGAAACCGAACGAAACTCTTAGGCAAAATAAAGTAATTGTAATTGTTTACCCAGCAGGATCTGAATATTTACAGGAAATACAGTACACGTGTACTTTAAAGTCTGTTAACGTGGTACGGGGTACATTATTCACGGAAAAAAAATAAGTGAGCTTTTTGACACCCAGCGCAATACATTTTTAGTTTTTTTCAAAGAAACAGAAAATAAGAGTAAAACGGAATCAGAGCTGATAGCTGAGATTAAGTGAACTAATAAAAACAGTCAATAATGGGGGATCTTTCAGAAGCTTATGCCCTTAGGCACATGGGTCATCAGTAGATCTTCAAAATTTATTGGGGTAAGCGGATACAGGCAAATCGTAAGCCATGTAGGGGAAAACATTTGCCTTTAATTTCCGTCTACATTGTAGAATTATATTTTACTGGAACTGTGCTGTGGAAAGAAACGACTTTCCTACAAGAGTTATGAATATTGTTTTCAAGACAGGACTCGCTCATGGCCAGTGCTACACCGACTGCTTTATCCACAAAGGAAACAACAAACTATGCCAGGTTGTGCCGTCTGCTGGTTGATATTGGAACCCAGGCTCTTCGAGACACGTTAGATACCATCCATTCTCCAGCAAATTTACCCACAGTTTTGGCGGCAAACAGACCCACCTTACAATCTCTTAGAAAGAAGAAGATTATCAATCAAATACAGTGGGGGAAGCTTTTCCCTGCCATCCCCAACTCAGTGTCTTCACGTGACTTTGACACAACTTTGCTGATGGTTCTGTTACGGAACCTGTGCGGCTTAACTGCTCCGCTGACCGGTTGGGACGCATTGCCTGCCGTAACAGACCTCAGCAGGGAAGCGGACATTGCCCGAGTTAAGTATTTTAGGAACACCGTGTACGGTCACGCTGAGAAAGCTTCTGTTGATGACGTCAAATACAATGAATACTGGCGTGACATCCAGGACACTCTGGTCCGACTGGGAGGCGTCACTTATGTAGCTGCTATTGACGATCTTAGAAACGAGTGCATGGACCCTGAAGTTGAAGATCACTACATGGAACTACTGGGTGAATGGAAAAAGGACGAGGACAACATTAAAGATCAGCTGAACGAAATAAAGATGAGACTTGATCTCCTGACAGCTTCAAAAGAAGCAACTGATCTAGGTAAGATCTGTTCGATGATGGTGATGTAGATAAAGATAGTTGGTTTTAAGCCTGGCGATTTTTATATTTGACTAATGCGTGTACTTCCGGTTTCAAACCATTAAGGGTAAAACAATTCAACGACAAAAACAGGAAGTGACAGGCCAGGCAGTCTCTCCAGTATAAGTAGCCATTTAAGTACATCATATCCTCAGAAGCAAATACTCGTTTTTCTTAACTTATTGTTTCAAGGTCAGCAATACCAGCGGGGTAAACAGATCTGCTGGTGTGGAGTTACCACTTGCAAAGAGAGCGTTCACGAGAACGGACCAAGTGGCTTCTATTGCCATAAGCGTGACGCCTGTTTTTGTCTAAAATGCGGTCAAACAGCTCATGATCAGCTGGGTAGAGATGTTATAAGTAACACTGATCATTCGCAATCGTTGGCCAGAGGGAAATGTTTGATAGAAGTGGAACAGGGCGCTGAAGCTAACTTCACAATAATAACGCGAGATTCAGGAGGACAGAAGTGCTATAACACGCAAGAACAAGTGACCGTCACTGTTAGCCCTAAAACTGGTGATGAGGAGGTACAAGTCATAGATTGTAAAGATAGTAATTATCGAGTATGTTACAAACCGAAGAGCGTTGGTCGGCACGACTTTGAAATCAAGGTAAATGGATGGCCGCTGACCGGTAGTCCTTGGAAAGTTGAGGTGAAGCCCCATCAGTACAAAGTAGTGAAGTCGTATGGGTCAGGAGAATTAAACGGACCATACTGTATCGCAAAGAATGAAATAACTGGAGACATTGCAGTTGCAGATTATGTTAACAAACGAGTCCTGGTCTTTGATAAGGACATGAAACGTGTGAAGACGATAGGAGGCGAGGCAGATTCGCAAGTTTGTGCCAACATAGGTTTTCCTGTCTCAGTGGCATTCTCAAAGAGCAATGACATCATGGTTACTCATGAGCAGTTCAGATCACATAATAAGAAGCTTTCAGTTCTAACTGATCGTGGCCTCTTCGTCGAACATTTTTCTGAACATCTGATTAAAGCACATCATGTTTTTGTCAAAACTGATGATGGCCACGTGATCGTTTGCGATAAAGGTGACAAAAAGGTGAAAGTCATCTCCCCAGACGGGAAAGAATTGCTGCTGGCCTTCTCTGCGCCGGATAGCGAAATTTCCCCAAGCTTTCCATGTTATTATCGAGGCATGTTCTATGTTTCCTATATGAGAGCACATTGTGTGAAGGTCTTTGATAAGAAAGGAGTGTTCATAAGCAATATTGGCCGCAAGGGTTGTGGTGAAGGACAGTTGAGATATCCCGAGGGACTTTGTGTAGATTCCTTTGGTAACCTAATCGTGTGTGACGCTAGTGGTATTGATGAAAATCTCCGCGACGGCGTCCTGAAAATGTTTACCTTGGATGGAACGTTTCTCACTTCATTTGGCGAGAACACGATCAAAGTTCCTTGGATCGTGTCTGGCTGTAATAATGGCGATCTGCTCGTTGCTGATCTTGTCGGGGATAACGTTCATATTTTACGATAACCTGTTTGCTCCGGTACAAAATGAAACACAATGGAACACAATGGAAGAACTCTAAGATCTTCAGTTAATCCTAAAAACGCTCCATCTTTAACGGCTTCTCCGCTTTAATTAGCCTATAGTGTTTTACTTTCGCTTTTATACCACACACAATGTCCCCCACTTACTTAGCCTAACTGGCAGTGTCACGCAAGGCTTGTTCGATTGGTAAGTTGACCAGCCTAACTGGCAGGATTGATTTGTAAACTTGCGTGTATTGGAGACTTCCTAGCCTTACTGGCAGTTCCATGCAAAGTTTGTTTCATTTGTAAGTTTTCTAACCTAAGTGTTATGATCGATTCGCACACGTTGGTATATGGTAGATTGTGCGAAAAAAGTAGCAGACCTCTCAGCCTAAATGGCAGTCTGGAAAAAAGATAGTGGAGATTACGGAAAGTTTGTGTCTTTCTGTTCTTTCTAGGTCCTCCCAAATAAACTTATTTGTTGTTTATTTTCTGTGAAGTGGAGTTATTTATTTCAAAATTTTCATACGCAGTTTCACTGAATGACAGCATCACATGCTTTGCGATTAGCAATCAAAGTCACTCTTCTCAGTTTTCCAATGTTTTTGATTGAAGAGTTTTACAGCAAAATCATAAACTAAGAGGGATCTTGCTAAAAAAGCGAAAACTACGGTCCCACTTTCTTTTTCCCCGAATATTTTCTGCACCTATTTAAATTTACAACATTTTCAACCACTTTCTTTCCCAGAGCTTCCCCCACTGACGTCAGAGGACACTAGATCCCAGATCGCCTTTTTTACACAGCCGTAGAATCGTAGATGGTTATTTTCACCCAACTACGTAATCGTTTTGAAATTGAAAGGAATAAAAAAATGGGGTAAGGGATACTTTAACGTTCTGCGAGAGTTTGTAATCTCTTGCGTTCTGTTAGTTAGAATTCTACCACAGGAACTGAATAATTTCATTTTACCAAGGAGAAAATCTATTTTTATAGGCCTAAAAGCTCCAGTATTCCAATGGTGCTTTCAAGACTAACATTTTGAAACGACGCGAATTTCACATTTTTTAACTAGCACCGATTGTTAGACTTAGACAAGAGAGACAGAGAGGGCCGAGATAAGGCTGATGTTTCCTCCCAAGTTACCTCTGGGAAACACGAGCGAGTGATGAAAACTTACTTTAATCACACTTATAGTTCTTTTCTTCCTCAATGAACGTCGTTGAAGTGCGTAGGTCCTGGGCATCAATTGGAACGCGACATAAATAAATTAAACTGTTCGTTGTCACGCGAGGCCCAGAATATATGTCGACCGAACTAAACTTGACTTTCCCGCCGTGGATGGCTACGTTCCATTCCTTCTTCACCGTAAAAGATTAAAGGTTTGTTTCCCTATTACTTTTTTCTTTTTTCTTCTGACTAGAGGGCTAGAGACACGTCGAAATACTTATCCTTTGAGTTGCCATTCTGTCGAATGTCGAATGCGTAATAAGGTCATACATTGCTTATTTTAAAATCTTAGGGTAAACATTGGCAATCGAAAATTCTTAGCGATGTTTTGAAAGAGTCTAATTTATCTGGAGATTCAGAGACAGCATTTTACCACAGCACAGTGTTCTTTATGTTCGGATGATTTAATAAACAGAGAGCCAACTGCTAGTATAATATACAAATGGTTATCGTGCCAAATATTCAGCTGTTACTGTAAACTCTTTAAAATTACAGTCATTGCTTGGGGCAATTTGACGTTTATTTTGCAATTCGCCACTGGCGTTTCTCAGCCCTCCAAAATCTTTCACTTTAGATGTTGTGCTTTGCTTTCCACAAATACATGTCAGACGTGTCATCACTTTAGAATAAAAGGAGTTGCTTCGGTGGGGAATTTTATACTACAATTTGGTTTCAGTTTCTGAATTGATGATGTGAACTGGTGCGTTTTAGAGATTCTAGAGTTGAGTTAGTGAGGCTAACGTTCGAAACCTTAGCTTGGATTCTCTTTACAGAGGCCAACTCACACCGAGACAGCCGAGTCAACCGAGTCAGTTAATAAAACTAAATTATTTTGTTTTCGCTCGTAATCGACAGCCGAATTTATCGGTTTTCTATTTTTCGGGCCTAATAAATAACTCACCCGCGAGATCGTTCGTAAGAGGAGTTCGTGAACGATGATTTAGGCGGGTGATATACAGGTTTTGTGAGTTCTTCTCCCGCATTCTAAGTGGTTTATTACACTGATAATGTTCAGTTAAATGTATAAACATGAAAATGTATCTCTGAATGCCTTAAGTGGTAAAATGCTAACGAGGCACCCAGGGCCGAGTTGGCTATGACCAATCTGGCATCCAACAAACGCGTACGGGATAATACTTTGTTTAATTTCGCCGTGATTCGATATTTCTGGGAAAGCCTGTAAAGTTGATTCGTGTCAAATCTAAGTTATTATTTATCAGGACGACTACTGGAAGTCGATGCTGGTTCTAACCGCCAAAACTGCTAAATATAGGCACATGACATGAAAATCACTTTCGACAGGAGTTCAATTGAAAGTCTAAGGCGAAGGATGTTTATACAGTGCACTTGTACTTTGAAATCCATGAACGTGATATGAAGTAAAATATTTCCGGGATAAACGTTCAATTATGTTTATAAATCAGCGTTTAGTCGTGCACGAAATGTGAAACCAAGAGAAGAAAGCGATCGAAGACGACTATCGTTTAAATATGCTTAAACTTCTTTCTCGCTACGAGTACAGTTTATGAGTTGAAAACCTATGGAGACTAAGTATCCAATTCGAATTTCAAATTTTAGAAGCGTTAAGTACGCTCACCATGGCTTCACTTTATGGCAGGGAACGAGCTAAACCAGACAAACCAGCATTACGGCTATTAATGGTTATTGGTCCTTACCCAACGTAGAAATCTAGTGCAAGACTTCTAGCTCCGCTGTTGGAAAAAAAATTGACTCATTTTTCAACCCTCTTATACCAGGATTTGCAAATCATCCTGAAATTTTAATGGGAAGCGGTTTTCGTTAATTTTGTTGGTGTTGTTTATACTCTTTTTACTCTACAGACCGTAAAATAGAAATGTCAGGTGCAGTTTTGATTCCAATACATAATAACTTCAAAGAAAGAAAAGGAGCTTTGTGACACCCAATGTAATATTTTTAATCTTACCCCTATATAGCTATGATAAAAAGGTACAAGAGCTGATAACTGAGATTAGCTGAAGCAATTAAAACAACAGAGTAACTCAGTAAAAGATGGTGTCATCAGATCTCCTGAATTTATTGGAAGTTTCAAATGAGGAATGAAAAGAAATGATGAGGGTAACATTTAGCCTCTTTAGCAAGAACTTTTGAGGGAAAAAAGTTCCTCTTTTTGAATTTTAAAGTAGTAAATGAAAGTCCCCTGCTTTCAGTGTCAAACTACTATTGAACTGTCTTTCATTGAAACTGTGATATAGAAAGAAAACGGACTTCCCCATAATAGAGTAATAAATATTTTTTTTTAAGACGGGAGTCATTCATGGCCAGTGCCCCACCATCTGCTTCATCCACAAAGGAGACAACAAACTATGCCAGATTGTGTCGTCTGCTGGTTGATATTGGAACCCAGGCTCTTCGAGATACGTTTGATGCCATCCATGCACCGGGAAATCTACACTCAGTTTTGGCGGCAGAGAAGCCCACCTTACAATATCTTAGAAAGAAGAGGATTATCAATCAAATACAGTGGGGGAAGCTTTTCCCTGCCATCCCTAACTTAGTGTCTTCACGTGACTTTGACACAACTTTGCTAATGGTTCTGTTACGGAACCTATGCGGCTTAACTGCCCCGCTGACCGGCTGGGACGCATTGCCCGCCGTAACAGACCTCAGCAGGGAAGCGGACATTGCCCGAGTTAAGTATTTTAGGAATACTGTGTACGGTCACGCTGAGAATGCTTCTGTTGATGACGTAAAGTTCAATGACCACTGGCGTGACATCCGGGACACTATGATCAGATTAGGAGGCGTTTCTTATAAAGCTGCCATTGACTATCTTAGAGACGAGTGCATGGACCCTGAAATTGAAGATTGCTACATAGAACTACTCAGAGAGTGGAAAAAGGACGACGACAACATTAAAGATCAGCTGAACGAGATCATGAAAAAGCTAGACGCCCTGGCTAATAACGGTAAGATTTGAAGTGTGAGGCGAATGAAGATAGTTGGTTTTAAGCCTGGTGATTCGAAAGTTTGACCTATACTTCCGGGTTTAAACGTGTCCCTTTTTATGGTAAAACGATCTAGCGATAGATGATAAGTAACTAGTCAGGCAGTACCTAAAGTAATATATAGAATTCAGCAAGCCTAAAGGCGGAGCTCGCATTTTTTTTTCCTGCACGTCTCTTCAACAAAACTAAAGCCCCTACTATGGATAAAGTGCATGGTAATGTTGACGGATTTTCATTCGCAACTTCTTCGTGTTCGTGTAGAGGACTGATTATAAGATTGTGCCCGTACAGTTGGCCGCGCATGCTAAAAGTAGCACCTTGTACGGTCGATCGTACGGTCGTACATCCAAATTTTTTCGGCTTGATGGGTTACTACCATTTTGTATAATTATGAAGATACGCGAGCTCCGCTATAAGAAAACCGTATACTGTAGGTATACTCTCATTAGCGAACGCTCATTTTCATCATACTTCAGTCAATCGTCACGGAACTTCTAAACTTCTTTTTCAAGGTCAACCATACCAACAGCGTAAACAGAACTCGGGCAGAGTTACCACTTGCAAAGAGAGCTTCCACGAGAACGAGCCACGTGACTCCTATTACCATGAAGGTGAAGTCTGTATTCGTCTCAAATGTGGGCAAACAGCTCATGATCCGCTGGGTAGAGTGGTACTGAGTGACACTGGTCATTCGCGGTCATTGGCTAGAGGGAAGGGTTTGCTAAAAGTGGAACAGGGCGCCGAAGCTAAATTCACAGTAATAACGCGAGATCCAGGTGAACAACAGTTCTGTAACGAGCAAGAACAAGTGACCGTCACTGGCAGCGTTGGTCAACATGAAATTGAAATCAAGTTGAATATATGGCCGCTGACCGGTAGTCCTGAGAAAGTCGAGGTGAAGCCCCATCAGTACAAAGTAGAGAAGTCTTTTGGGTCGAGAGAATTAAACAAACCATATTGTATCGCAAAGAATGAAATAACTGGAGACATTGCAGTGGCAGATTATGTTAACAAAAGAGTCCTGGTCTTAGATAAGGACATGAAACATGTGAAGACGATAGGAGGCGAAGCAGACTCACAACATAGTGTCAACATAGGTTTTCCTGTCTCAGTGGCATTCTCAAAGAGAAATGACATCATGGTTACTCATGAGCAGTTCAGTCCATGTAATAAGAAGCTTTCAGTTATAACTGATCGTGGATTCATCATGGAGCAGTTCACTAAACATCTGATTAAAGCACATCATGTTTTTTTCAAAACTGATGATGGCCATATGATCGTTTGTGATGAAGGTGACAAAAAGGTGAAAGTCATCTCCCCAGACGGGAAAGAATTGCTGCTGGCCTTCTCTGCACCGGATAGCGAAGTTTCCCCAAGCTTTCCATGTTACTATCGTGGCAGGTTCTTTGTATCCTATATGAGAGCACATTGTGTGAAGGTTTATGATAAGGAAGGAGTGTTTCTTTATAACATTGGCAGCGAGGGTTGTGGTGAAGGACAGTTGAGATATCCCGAGGGACTTTGTGTAGACTCCTTTGGTAACCTGATCGTGTGCGACGCCAGTGGCATTGATGAAAATCTCCACGATGGCGTCCTGAAAATGTTCACCTTGGACGGAACATTTCTAACCTCATTTGGCGAGGATAAGATCAAAGTTCCTTGGATAGTGTGTGCCTGTAATAATGGCGATCTACTCGTTGCCGATCTTCTCGGGGACAGTGTTCATATTTTAAAATAACCTGTTTCCTTCATTGCAGAGTGAAACACAAATGGAATAATTCTTCAGTTGGTAGCGTGAACGCTCCGAAAAGCCTACCTTTTTCCCTCTAAAAAAACCGCTTGTGTCGTTATCCATTACTGTTGAGGAGTAAAATGAATTTTTTTTTAACATCATAAGTTGTCTAAAAAAGAAAACTAATATATGTTATTCGCCAGCCGCGCTAAGAACCAAGCAGATTGCAGAATTCGTTACCGAGCCCTCTAAGAAAAAAATTAACATAAATTGTTTTTCACAACTTGGTGGCATTTAGAACAAAACTTGTCTCGAATTTTGGTAGTCATTCAGAAATTTTTAATTCCCCTCCTACACCTCTATAAGCCCTACTGTCCAACCTTTCTTCGTGAATCTTCTCCATCCTTTTTTACCCTATACTGTGGTGTTTACTTACTTTAGACTTAAAAGCAATTTGAGCTACAATCACAAGTTCCAGTCGAAAACAATCGGTTTGGTACATTCAATGTGGTTCGG